GCCAATACCAGTCCTGTGTGACTCGGCCCTCGTAAGAAGTGCAGCTGGGTCCGAATCGACGAAAAGTGTGCCAGGCTGGCAAGAGGTTTGCGAGCTGGATCAAACAGCAAATAAAAGAAAGGAAAAAGACGCGTGATCTTAAACAAAAGCCGCGCACGTGCGCTGGACGGGATTCAGTTGAGAGTTACACCGTTTCTAATCACCGGAAAATCTAAGAAGCCAAGAATCACATGAACCGAAAAACTGACAAATCGACTGAGGTTCTACCCGAAGGACGCCTTCATGAATATGCGGACAGGGCTGTGCGTCGCTATGCGCCGGTCAGGAACAGTGGGGGCCATAGTGAACTGACATCAATCCTTATGGTCGCTTTCGAAGGATAATTCAAGATTGCCTCGGCCGGAGCGCCGGCGCGCACGTGACCGGTCTTGGTCGCCAAGACCAGCCATGCGGAGCTCGGACGCTCGTATGCTGCTAGCGCCGCATGCTGCCGCTCGTATGCTGCTAGCACCGTATGCTGTCGCTCGTATGCTGCTAGCGCCGTATGCTGTCGCTCGTATGCTGCTAGCACCGCATGCTGTCGCTCGTATGCTGCTAGCACCGCATGCTGCCGCTCGTATGCTGCTAGCACCGTATGCTGTCGCTCGTATGCTGCTAGCGCCGCATGCTGTCGCTCGTATGCTGCTAGCGCCGCATGCTGCCGCTCGTATGCTGCTAGCACCGTATGCTGTCGCTCGTATGTTGCTAGCGCCGTATGCTGTCGCTCGTATGTTGCTGGTGCCGTATGTTGTCGCTCGTATGCTGCTAGCGCCGTATGCTGTCGCTCGTATGTTGCTGGCGCCGTTCAAGCCCTGTGCTCCCCTTCTCTGACATAGTGCCCAAGCTTACACATTAAAACGCAGTCGTCGCCTGTCTTTATAGAATCTTCACGCTTGTAGTTACCACACCCGTGATACATATCCAGACAGATGGTTCCATCTTGATACTTCTGCAACGACACGCGCGCATGACGTCATATGTCATATGGCACATCCCCTGCCCACCCATCCATAACCGCGGAATCACAGGATCCTCTTTCCCCTGCCACACACGATGGAAGGGGTTATCATGGCTCACGGCCGCCTGTGGGGAGGAGTCATGGGACGATTTCAAAGCACACAGTCGTTCATGGCCCGGTTAGGATGGGGGGCGACAGCTTGTGGACTCACATTGTGCGTGACACCAGACGTCGTGGCTGGGCAGATGACTGCCGAGCCGGCGTCGGAGTCTTCCAGCCGTGACAGCCCTGCTTCACTGAGAGCCTGTGTCTAGGTCGGCCCCTGCCCTCGGAGGCCCTCCTCGGAGAATTCTCCCGGGCACTTCCTTCCCAGAGACTTCTTTTTTGAAAATTTGCATCATGTTTCATTTCCTCTTCATTTCTTGGAACCGGGTCGGCCCGCCCTCGTCTCCCGCAGGATCAAATCGTGTGGCCGGGATGTCCCGTTCACACGCCGCGCTGTCGGGCCGGCAATCGTCCTAGTTCCTGGGATCGGCCTCCGACGTGCCCTGGGGCCCTGGGGGCAGAACTCGGGCGTCGCGTCGACTGCGGTGCTGCAAGGCCCGATCGGCCACCTCCTGTCCCGCCCCGGGCGGTTCCTGCGTGTTCGTGCCTTGACCTAGTCCCGCGTGGCGCCGACACCGCGGGGATCTAAGAGGGGGAAGGGTGAAGGGTGACACAGCTATGCTGTTTTCTCCCACAGATGGTCGGGCATCGCGCATCCATCAATATTTTCCCCCGGCCAGTAATAGATGCCCCCCTTGGAAGCGGCGGTCCGAAACGAAAAACTGGGCCGCTGTCTTTTAAAGTTCTGAAGGGATAGCTGTTTACCGCGCTCGGTCATCTTTCGCGTGTCGCTCTATCCTGCTGATCAGTTCAGCAGCTCCTCCACCACTTCTGCCGTTGCGGGGCGGCCGGGCACAGGTTTTAGTGGATATGCATCAACTTCCCAGGCTCCTTTAGGCCTAACGGTCGCGTTTGCTCGGAGGGGGAGTTCCTGGCCATGGCCGGCCTGCCTGCTATCCCCAGCTCGCCGGAAAATTTTACTGATACTGAACGGACAGTATGGAACAGTACAGCGTGTCGAAATGTATGCCCAGACATTACACGCCCAATGAGGCGGCGGTCTTTTCGGTACGTTAGATAGCGTCATGAATGTGTGGATGACCTTAAAGAAGTCAGCACGGAATGGTCCGAAAAAATTAATGATATACACATGTATATATATATATATATATATATATATATATATATATATATATATGTGTGTGTGTATGTATACGATGGATGTTACGAAAAATAAATGAGATGAAATAGAGAGATCGAGGGAAAGGGAGAGAGAAAGAAAGAGAAAGAGAGAGAGAAAAAAACAGGAAGAGAGAGAGAGAGAGAGAGAGAGAGAGAGAGAGAGAGAGAGAGAGAGAGAGAGAGAGAGAGAGAGAGAGAGAGGAGAGAGAGAGAGAGAGAGAGAGAGAGAGAGAGAGCGAGAGACGCAATAGGAACCCCAAACACGTATTTCTATACACTATTTCATAATCATCGATGCGTTCTGACACGTACAGTGTGGAAGTACTGCAGCATCTTAACACGCGCTCGGGTGGGGGTCAAATTGAACCCCTAAAGGTTTTACTAGAATGGTTTCGGAACGGCGCGGCATAGCCGCGCCATAGTTTGCACAGCTGTCGACAATTGAATAGTGGATCGTTTGATGTCAAAAATTTAGATGTACCTTGTAACATCGATGACCTACGGTATGTTATAGTCAGGCCGTGGTTTCAGCGAAGTCGATTTTTAGGGAATCGTTCAATCCGATGCAACAACGGAGTGTTAGACGAGGCCATACATCTCTGAGATGCTTTCTTAGGCAACACAACAATTGAATGAATAAATAACATTGCCCTATGGTCAGGCATAATGGTCATACCAAGGTCAAAATCAACTGGTCTTATTACCCTAGGGCTTGCTGTATGGGATAGTTTCTGGTGCTCATTTCGAATTTTTGGTTACAGGAACCGCATTATACGTCTTCCATGGACTTCTTAGAGGTCAGAATAGGCCATTGACCTGAATTGACCCAGGTCAACATGTTGTTCTCAGGAACATACTGCCCAGTGTAGTGTTTGTAGCTTATACAAACACAAAACTCAGAGCAGTCTTGTATGATTTAGGTCACCATGACCCTCAAAAGGTCAAACAAGGTCATTGAACTTAAATGGGAATGTGAAATTTTGCTTAGAAACAGTTATCTAGGATCTGGGGGTACTTTGAAGACAAACCTGGAACTCGACCTTGTTTGACCTTATTTGGCCCAAAAGCCATGACTTAGGAACCTGAAATGTCCACATTGAAATTGCCAAAGGTGCGAACATGAGGGGAATCGAACTCATGAGATATTACCTAATCTTGCCAAATGAAAACACAACATTATCAAATTGTGTTCGAATTGTATAGCAAATACACATCTAACAGCAACATAGTTGTGATGTTGCCAAAGTTACATTCTAACCCAATTATTCTGTCATCACAGTGGGTGATAAGCTTCACTTTTGAAGCTTGATATCTTATCCACATCACAGCAACTCCACCATACGGCCGTTTCATTACTAAACTCTCAGAAATATGCATTGAAGAAATACCAAAAAGACATGAATTTCGAATGCAGGGTATTCAACTCGGGTCGTCTCGAGCCGGGTCCCACTGCATCGGCCCTGACGTCTGCGAGTTTCGCATGCAACACGGCCTCAACTATCCGGGATGTTTACACGTTTGCTGTCTGGTTGTCATCAGCCACCTTCTTAACCTGACTTATTTTCATCTCCATCAGCTGCTGCTTGCGTATTAAGGCACTGACATTGATGCGGCTTTGCGAGAAAATAGATATCGCGAGAAACAGATATTGTTTGCAGCTTTGCGAGGTTTAGGGCTTCAAATCTCGGTGAGGTTCCACTGTCACACTTGATGATTATCTTGACGGCATCATGAATGTTCAGAAACCTTTTATTCTGGCCATGCCTGTTTCCAGCTTTCACGGAGTCACCCCTATGACTGCAAGGCAGTGCCCGTCCCAATTTCCTCCTCGTCGAAGTTTTAAGTTATCAGACTAGCGTTTCTTGGGATATTAAAATATCAACACAACTACCAAGAAAATTCGTTCAAAAAGACAGCTTAGTTAAGGAACATCATACCTATAATTGTTGTAAGGTCATTCTATTTCAGCTTGTTACTTACGAATGCCTTACATCTCGCAAGCACTGTACCATCATAGACTTTTTCTTGGGATAAACTGTCGATCTTGTTTAGTATATAGCATAGCAGCTCGCTAGTTAATAATGATAGCTATGCTGTTCATTTCAGCGGCTGCCATAACATGTTTCACAGCAAAAGGTCACGCTCTTAATCCCAAAAAATTGTGCGCACCTAGCAGGCACGTCGAGAATGGGAATGAAAACGAAATTAACTAAAGGCTGGAAAATGAATTAGCTTTAAACGACAATATGTTCGTGTAAAAAAAGCATTCACATGCCATACGGTACACAACATTATCACTGATAGTCAACTAGTCTTTGACGAGCTTCGTTAGCCTCCAACGGGCACATACACGTCACAATTAACACTAACTGGGGTGTAAAAACACACGTCCGACCAATTCAACAGCTTATTTCCTGAGTACAACAGCCGGACTCAGCCGATGCATGTGACACAAATATATATATATATATATATATATATATATATATATATATATATATATATATATTCTGCTCAGAATTCCGGTGCCGTTGCTGCCCCGACCACACTTGCACTGACATACTGAAAAGTATTTTGAATTGTGATGACTAGAGCCCCTGTGACATGGCAAGGCATACAAATGCTAGAACTCAAAGCAACACATTGTGCAGCCGATGGCTTGGGCGGATTTGTGAGCGCTGGGCAACGTGTGACGCGCCGCTCCTGACGCCGCCAGGACCCCACATCTCACCGGATCATCGAGAAACGTCGCCGGGACCGCATGAACAACTGCTTGGCGGATCTTTCGCGGCTCGTGCCGTCTTGTCACCAGCGCAAGGGCCGCGGACGCATCGAGAAGACGGAGATCATTGAGCTGGCAACGAAACACATTCGCCACCTGCAGGCGCACAGATGCCCGCGGCCAGGTAAAATGTTCCATTGGGCTGAACAGAGCGTTGCCTGAGCTCGTCCCCTCCCCCGTCGATGGTGCCGCCCTTGTCGCGCTACCAACGGTTCACGCGCTTTGATGCTGCGCTGAATTATAAATCAGCTGTAGCCTTTACTAGCTGCAGCCTTTACCAGCTGCAGTTTTTACCAGCTGCAGCCCAACAGCCTAAATCGGCTACAGTCTTTCGGGTCCTGCCCCCTCCCCGCTCTTACAAAGCAACGCTCTGTTTAGACGGCAACCGAGCGAGCGCGGCTGGCCGGCGCCAGGCAGCCGCCCTCCGCCAGCTGGCCGCGTCCTGCCTGCTGTCTACCTGATATCTCAGTCTTTGCCGTCTGCCTGATCTCTCTCTGTCTGCCGTGTGGCGATCTCTCAGTGTCTGCCATCTGTCTGATCTGTCCCTGTCCACAGTCTCTGTGTGCCGTGGGCCGATCTCTCGGTGTCTGCCATCTGTCCGATCTGTCCCAGTCCGCCGTCTTTGTCTGCCGTGCGCCGATCTCTCAGTGTGTGCCATCTGTCCGATCTGTCCCAGTCCGCCGTCTTTGTCTGCCGTGCGCCGATCTCTCAGTGTCTGCCATCTGTCCGATCTGTCCCAGTCCGCCGTCTTTGTCTGCCGTGGGCCGATCTCTCAGTGTCTGCCACCTGTCCGATCTGTCCCAGTCCGCCGTCTTTGTCTGCCGTGCGCCGATCTTTCAGTGTCTGCCATCTGTCTGATCTGTCCCAGTCCGCCGTCTTTGTCTGCCGTGCGCCGATCTCTCAGTGTGTGCCATCTGTCCGATCTGTCCCAGTCCGCCGTCTTTGTCTGCCGTGTGCCGATCTCTCAGTGTCTGCCACTGTCCGATCTGTCCCAGTCCGCCGTCTTCGTCTGCCGTGTGCCGGTCTCTCAGTGTCTGCCATCTGTCTGATCTGTCCCAGTCCGCCGTCTTTGTCTGCCGTGTGCCGATCTCTCAGTGACTGCCATCTGTCTGATCTGTCCCAGTCCGCCGTCTTTTCTACCGTGGGCCGATCTCTGTCTGTCATCTGTCCGATCTGTCCCAGTCCGCCGTCTTTGTCTGCCGTGTGCCGATCTCTCAGTGTCTGCCATCTGTCCGACTTGTCCCAGTCCGCTGTCTGCCCGATCCCTTCCAATCCGCCGCCTGTCTAACGTCGCCCCTGTCCGCCGTCTACCCAGCGGAGTGTAACGGTCGTGATTGGTGGCTAGTGACAGTTGCAGCCACCGGTGGCTCTGCGACGCGTGGTTGAACTGGGACCCTTTTTCGTCTCTACCGGTTTCGGTGATTGAGGGTTGTTCCGAGTGCCACGGTGCCTGCGCTCAGCTGCTTACAATTGCTACCGAAGTACCGTATTACGCCGCCATCTACTACCTGCAAATGAAATTGCATCAACGATGGTAACGTGACTATGTAGAATAATATTACTACCCTGACCATTTCGAGGGATTAGGTCGGAGCAAGAGTTATCTTGGTCCATGATTCCGTATCGTAATAGTTTCAGCTGAAAAATAATGTGGCATTGAATCCCCGCAGAATGCCGTATTTCGATAAAGCGATTATCTTTCTGCAGAAGGGTATGTAACTGATAGCTACCACTTCACCGAAACAGGTGACTGTCCTTAATATAGAATGGCTGTTCTTTAGAGTAATGTTTTTATTATTTTATGTTTAAGCATGCAAAATACATGAAAGGCGGACGCATCAAAGGACAACTGATGGACCGCTTCCACACGAGATTCCAATCAACTATTTGCTGAGAGAGTTCTGAGAATGGGCTACGTTATTAATGACTGCTAGGCAAACTTCTTTGCTCTTTTATCTGCTCATTATACATGTAAGCTGTCACCATCGTATTCCACCAGATAAACCAGAAGTCAGCAGCACGTTTTTACCAAATGCACATCTTTTGACTGAATTCATCTTTCAGGTTTTTCCATCGAGTGTTTCCGATTTTTTCTTATCCGTTCTAAGCGGAACACTGGTGCGTATTTACCGTCATCGCTTTTCGTAACGCTGCGTGATCGAAACAAACTGCATCTGAAGTAAATTTCACCGTGTTTTCGTCTGCGCCCGCTAAATCTTTCCAGTTTCACCGATTTACCGGATTTGTAGTTGCATGGCACTGAATGTGGAGGGCAAAATTGAATAATTTCTTATTCATATTTTTAAGGGGTCCTGATTTGCAACGTACGCAGTTTTTTTTGCTTTGTAAAATAATTTTTGGCTGTTTTGTATGGAATGCCTGACCATTAGGTGTATCTGTGCACGGTTACGTGGAAATTCGTTTCTATATTACAGTCCAGATATCATTCCTTGGCTCGCACGGATGATTTTAGAGCTAGTCGTGAACGCCGCATCGTAAAGGATGAAATTTCACCTAAATCTGAGAATGATGGACGCTCGCTTGTGGTCAATGTCCGTTGAATATTCCAGGAGCAGAGGGCAGGAATAAAAGTTCAAATCGTTGTCATCTTGGTTGAGGTCATCCCGTGCATAGGGGCTGTGATTTACCTTCTCTTTGTGGAGGATGGAAAGGATCATCCTGCTTATCCTTCTGACAGCGGCTGCACGTGTTCCAAAAAGCCTTCTGATGTAGCCCTCGCTCACATAGGTGGTAATCCTCGCTAGCACGCCCAGTAAGACATGGCATACTGTTTGGCATCAGCTTCCCATTTTGTCCCAGAGCTAGTTACCAGCGCACAGCTGGTGCATGCTGTGGAATCTGAGGTCCGTTAATGCCATCGAATCAGGTCAGTTACTCTTTTAGTCAGATAATGCCGTTCTAGGTCAAATGAATCTGAATGTTTAAGCATGATTATGTTCGTATGCTGCGAATTCCCTTGATTCCAACCGAAACTTTGAAAGCGGTGTAGGTACAATGGCGTATTCTGCATCGGATACAGTGATTATGCAAATTACGTCACCGATCTAAAGCACCAGATTGGGGGTAGGGAGAGCTGCTGTTGGCTTGCACTCGTTGGCCCTCGGTTGTAATTCCGCTTGCGCAACGGCCCCGGGCCGTAATATTACCTCGCAGTCGACTGGTGCTGCATAAACGAGTGCGTGATGACGTGCGCTGCTCTCCATTTTTAAATGCAGATACATCACCAGGTCTTCCAAACACCAGACTTTCTCGACTTATGCTGTTAATCCTCGCCTTACGAGTGTTTTCTCACCTTCATCCTCAAAGGAGCGTCAGGCAAAAGGCTTCATTTAATATCTTAAACACGAACGAAACTGGAGTCCTACATCAATTGGCTTTGGAAAACTCTTGTTAAACTGTATGAATTCAGTCTGACTGATCAATGGTGAAAATGACCTTTCACAAGTCAAATCAGGCCACAAGGTTCAAAGAAGCATTTGATAGCCCTCTCTTGTCATGTCAGGTCATGTCAGCCTGCTACGACAATGCGGAAAACGGCGTGGAATAGGAAAACTATCGCTGGGAAGAGCGCAGGGATGTTTGCATCAGAAAGGCATTAACGGACAGTAGATATCCACACGCGTGGCCTGTGATATGTCATGTGGGGTTTAAGGAGGCCGGCTGTCGGTGCCTCGGCCCTCCGATTTGACCGAGAACTAAATAAGTCATATCAACGTGAACAACAGCGTTCCAGAGCTGCATGATTGGGCCACTAAAGTTTAAATGACGTGTGTTTCAAAGGCTTAGCTCTGGTCGCAGAGATTAAAGTCTAGCCTGGCTTGAGTTTGAATGACTCACATTCGATGAACAGTCAGAACATAAGTGTTGTAGCTAAGAATGATCAAGTTTTTGTGCAGTTGGGATTACGTGCTTTACACATGTTGTGAAGCTTCGAAGTTTTGGGCCACACGGTGTATTATCTGCAACATTGCATCGATGTCACTTTTGTGACATTGGCAGTGTGACCGGAAGTGGCAACAACGCTTTTTTTTCGCAGGAAATGGTCTCTTGTGAAGGTTTGCTAGCCTGATTTTCTTAATGTATCCCTCTGAACGGTATTACAATAGTTTTTTGTAGCTCCAACCTGGTCAGATCATCCAAATTTAAGCTATTGCAAATGTTCACAGTTATGGTCAGATTCGGCATGAACAAGGTTTTATTATATTACATCTTTGTCACAGGTTTGAGAGGCCTTTATTAAACTATTTTTCCCCACTGACGTGATTTTTTTAGTCATGATGTAGCCTTACAGCCAATGGAACCACAGCCTTCATTTTTCTGACCTCTGACCTCTGAGATGTATGTCATGTCACAGCTGTCGACATCCACTAGTGTGCATCCGATATATGCTGGCCGGAGCTATGTAACGTGGTTTTCCACGTTGGCGTAGCTGGCTTAATGCATGAGATAACAGGAGCGGGGTCTTAATATTGAGCTAATTTGACCCCTATGATGAAATTAGAGATCGCACGCATTAGTTCTCCGTTTAGGAAAAAAACGCTCGTAGAACGATGATGAAGTATTACTCACAGACCAGGCAATACTGCAGGGAATGTGTGTTAACCCATAGGCCTTGCCTAGCGAGGGCACCACAGGCGAACATAAGCCCAGTGTCCAACCCTGCATCATATTGCAACCCACGATCGTCGTATACCCGACTGTGCCTCTAAAGGACACACCCAGCGTGTAGTAGGCACAACAGACGCACGCTTCCAGCGTGTCTCCCGAGTGCGGGCGGCATACGGTCCTGCCGGCATCCTATGAGCGGCATCATGCGCCAATGCCCTCCGGGTCCGGGCGGCCGCCATTCAGCGCCGTCCGCCGGCGGCCGGCCGTCTTCCGTATTGATTGTCAGTGTGGCCGCGATGCCAAGACGCACCGACACGTCGGTGTGTTGGGACGGACGCGCTCGGCGTTGCACGCCGCGCCGCACGTGACGAGGGGCACTCTCTCGCCATGCCAGTTAGCGGCCGTTGGGCCGTGTCACGTGCGGCCCGCTTCGTCTGCTGTACCGACACGCGACCAGGGGCACTTTCGCCTCGCCTCACGTGCGCGGCGCCCCGG